ATTTAAAATTTAAGTCATATTGCTCAGGTTTTCGCATTAATGCCGGGTCCTCTTTACACGCAACTTGGCACTGTTTTTTGTGCATTTTACAAAACCTGCAATAATAGTTACTTGAAAAAGATTTAGCAAAATCAAGGAGGCTATTTAAGCCTAAATTATCTCCCAGGACTAAACCTAACATAAAATACACCTTTATATCTTTCCCTGACAAATTGATAGTAATGCCGTCTCTTTCTAGGATAATGATTTCATCTACAAGAGTTTTTAAACATTCGTTATTACCAAAAGACTTTACATGCGCACTTTCAATTAGACCGGCTAAAAAAATGTTTTCCAGCTTAGAATTGTTAAAAAAAATTGGAAATGAATAGTATAAGGCTGTTATAGGAGAGCAATGACTTCCTAAGGGATTGTTAACTTCAAAATCATCGGCGTATAAAAAATACGGAATAGCTACCGCATCGTTTGAAACATGCTTTACTTTTTCGGGCCAAAGCTTTCCCTGTATGAAACTAGTAATTGTATTATCGTTGCTACATTTAATGTTACTTATGCAATCCAAGGTTTTTTGCAAATTATTATGTTCAGAAAATATTTTTTTCATTTGGAACGTTAGTGGCATTTTTATTCCACAAACCTTTTTTTCAGCGTACACGGCTTCTCCTTGCCTAAATGTTGGTATTACACGATTATCGATGGTGTACTGCAGTACATCACCGGCTAAATTATTTTTATATAACCACATATTCAACTTGTAATCGGTATTACAAAACTGAAAAGGATTTTTTAAACGCTCCAACAGCTCATGCAAATCGAAATCATACTTAGGATAATGGGTAATTTTCTTGCTTAAAATTGCATTAATTAAGTCTATAATGGGCTTTAAAAGGCATTCGGTAACCATTTCTTGAATAAAAAACACATCCTTTTTAGCAAAATTATTTTTGTTGTGTAAGCTTAGAGTGAAATTTGCGGAAAATTTGGTAATGGATGTCAAGTACTGTTCAAGATTTTGATGTTCGTTTAAGTCCTCGATGCTGGTATTGCTCTCGGTATTGCTACAAGAAATACTTTCATTGTCAAGCGCCTGACTGATAACAGCATTTGTTTGTTTTTCGAAATGGGGTATACTACGCTTGTGGTCTGGAGTGTCCACCACTGTTGCAATACCATGTTTAATGTGGATGTGTCTTTTAAAACTACTTAAATTTGTGAAGGATTGCGAGCAAAGTCCTTCTAAACAAGTATAATTGCTATTTGTTTTAAAACCATGCTGTAACTTAAAATGTCTTATCAATATATACAAGGTATCAAAAGATTTTTTACACGAAAAACAAATCATACTTTTGTCACGTTAATATTCCTAATTCTGCAAAACCGCTGTACAACAGTTACAACTTCCTCAAAAAGTATACGGTCTCTTAAACTTATATTCGGAGTTTTCTTGCAAAACTGCTTAATGTGATTTCGGTTAAATAAAAGTAATGTCTCTAAATCAATTTTTTGATCTGGAAAAAGATAATAAAGGGATTCCTTATAGGTACTCACAATTATACAGATTTTATGACTCACCTATGCATTTCTTCAAAAGCAATTCTACTTTGCGAATATTGTATTGAATAAACATTAACTTGAGGAAATCCACAAATTTTAGTTTATTTTTCAACGCACTTTCACTTTTAATCATTATTTTTCCACAGAACGCGAATGTAAAGACTTATTGCGTACATCCTTATAAATGAACTGACACTAAAGGCAAAAATGCAACGTAGCTAATGATAATGAACACATTTTTAGATGGGTGTAGCTGTATAGAGATTTGCGTTTCATTAACAAATGTTTTTATTATCCTAACGAAACTTATCGCAACGTAACAAAAACTTTTGTTAACTGTTATATTACTGCTATACTAGAAACAAAATTCATTATTAATCCTACTGTGACTGGTGTAACGTTGATAAAAAATACAGTTCTGTTAACAAAATGGGCTTGTTATTGTAAAAGGGCTTCTTGTTGCCGATACAGCACGTTAGTAATCGCAATGATTTTGTTCGTTAGCATAATAATTCAATCAACTTATATTTATAAAAGCCTGATGTTTAAATTTATAAAACCGCTTTACCTCCAATGAGTTTGATTTATTGAATAAACAATGCAATTATTTCAAACACAAAAATTGCCATAAACCTTAAAGTAATTTACTATCACCTACTAATAAAAACGCTTTTGTTAACATTGCATACGAATTTTTCTGAGTG